ATTGATTGGTCAATAATCAAAGAAACTCACAGATAGCCAATCAAATGCGAGCCTTGGATGTCGCAACATATGGATACACTGAAAATTTGCGAGCGAAACAGTGGCAGGTGTTTTAAGTAGGTTTTCTTCTGCCACCGTAACAACAATACAGCAGCTGAGAAACAGCTCTACCAACGAAAACGTACAGGGTAAAAAGCACTGCTTTTTGGTCGTCGAAGAAGTGGTGTTTGGAGAAGGGAATTGCCGCGGAAATCGAGAACTACGAGTCGACCCACCTTACTAGTTTGCCCGAGCGATTCTACGCCGATATTAAAAACAAACATGGGAAAGATTATGAACCGGAAAGTCTGAAAATAATGATTACATTGCTTGATAGGCACTTGAAGAGCAACTGCTATAAAATGTCTTTTATTCGCGACAAAGAATTCAGTTCCTCTAAAAAGGTACCTGACGGAGAAGCGAAACAGCTTCGCTTAGCTACCCGCGGCAAGCGCCCAAACAAAGCTCGACAACTATCCAAAGAGGAAGAAGAAATTACATACATACATACATACATACATACATACATACATACATACATACATACATGCATACCTACATAGGTTAATTGACCACTCCTCATGGGGGCTTTTCAGGGCCAACACCCACCCATTCCACCCAGGGAAGAACATCCACCATACAATAATCACGTGCGTGGGAAATTAACGTCTCCAACCCCTAACCCTGCAGGAGACGGGGCCTACGGTTTATTCGTCCTTATCCGAGAAGACTAGAATATCTATCCATTTTTTGATTATAGAAGGGTAGCAAATTGTCCTCTCTTATTTTAAGACTATGAATATTCTCTGGAAGAGCAAGAAACTCGGTGGCAAAACCCTGAATTCCTTAATTCATACAACAATTTGGTCTTCGTGGAAGGCAGGAACACCATGGAATGAGACTGGAAGATTCAGAATCATGAAAGGTGATGACGGCCTTGAATTTATTGAGTTTGCTGAAGGGCCAACGAAAAGGAGACCTGGAGGTTTGAACGCAAAGCCAAGACAGTTTCAGCCCAAAATGTCCAGTTGCGTTGTTCCGTCAGTACATCAACAGCAGGCCTCACAATCTCAGGGCGAGCGGTTCGTTTTTCTCTCGATAAAATAAAACAGCGGACCTGGCGATGAAACTTGGTATAAAGTCCAGCCCAAGGGACAAAATATAATCAACTCCGTGATGATAAGTATCATCCCCCAAACCACCCTTCAGACATCCGAGAAAACAGGTGTTTATTAATTTCCGGAGTGTTTTTTAATCTCAGGAATTAAAAAATCATCTGTCGCTTGCTCATAAACGTACGTTTCAACTTCGCAAAAGGCCGTTATCGGGATTCGGCATTTGTCGTAATTTGACCTATTTGGCTCTTTGTTTGCAAATGTATTCGGTTAAACTTAAATCTACTTAAAAACCTGTCCGAAATTAATGTATTTACTTACAATCTAGGTCATCGACAAGAAACGTTGGTCAACTCTCTCACGATATCGAAAGCACGACCTGAACTTCGTCGAAGGACGAAAGAAAAGAAAAACGTCGTTGGTAAATACACTTTTTAAACAGAATGAGGTTCACTGAGAACCTCAACCCAAGAAGACTTCAAATGTGTGACATTTATTGCTTGAAAAGCCATGTGGGAAGAAGTACTAAACTTCTGAATTTTTAGTCGTAATGGCGGCCGTTCAAAAAAAATTTCTTGTTGAACTTTCTCTGGAGAGGAGTACGATTAATAATGACATTTGCTGTCAGATGCGATTATTAACCGTACGATGCACGATTATTAGTCTAAAAGCTCGTCAAACACGACTATTAATGATGCAGTCACGATTAATAGCCGTACTTTCCACGATTATTAATCGCAATAGTACACTCTTTGCGACTAATAATCGTAAGTGAAGCCCTTTGCGATTAATAATCTTAATTTCAGGACATTACGACAAATAATCGTTGAATTTTTCATTCCTGAAATTAAAAAACACTCCGGAAATTAATAAACACCTGTTTTTAANTGTTTCCACCTAGATTATTATGAATCCCCAGTCTGTTCTTCTCCTCCTACTGGTAGTTGTTCCCTACGCATCTGCTGGTATGTTATCCTCTTACTAAGTTCTGTTTAGCCACTACGACCTTCCCTGATTAGTAAACAGAATATTTAGCTACGAATCCTTATATCCAAAAGGGACTTCGCTTGATAGAGAGTCCTGAAACAATTCTAACCTGTTTCTGAACAGGTTTTTTGAATTCGAAGAACACCTCGGAGGACTCAATTTGCTGCTTAAGAAACTTATAAACTGTTCGTTGTAATCTCTATAAGTTTTAACTGAAGCGATTCACTTACTAGCTATAACAATGGTCCAAGTCAAATAACTATGTAATGCTGAAGTTATAAAGGAAAAAAGACAGCATCTTAGGAAAAAGGCTCGCCGTTATTTATTGCTTTCTTTTTCTTTTACTGCTTGTTGTGACATTTTAAGCAAATAGTCGCCATCTTGAAGTAATTAAAAAACGACTACGCGTCTCGCAATATGATTATAATATTAAACAAAAAACATTTTGAAGGGAAAACTATAAAAGAATAAGGTGGAACAAAAAAAAAAAAAATCAACTAGTCACCCCATGCTTAATAGGAAGGCAAAAAAGTGAGAAAAAATTACCAAATATATTTATTGATTGCCTCTCTTTCAAAACAGGTGAGGTTCATCAAAAGAATTATTCCTCATCTCTTCTCATTGCCCCGTCACTTCAAAAATGCACGCAGTTTATTTAATTTTTCTTGAATACCCTGCCTTTTCCTTTGCAAAAGGTCATGATTTTATGTTCTCAAACTAAGGAAAATCAGGAGGCGAACTGTATCTCAATTACCCAAAGAAAAGAGTAGACTAGAAAATTGAGAGGTCAAGGTTCAGCAGCAACTGTCTCCTTACAATTCAATATGTAGCCCCTTTTTTGCTCTTATCGTTTCCTAGGAGGTTCAATACATTTCAGAGACTTCTCTCTTGAAGAGTACACTTCCATCTAACCGCTATTATGGGGTAGAGCCATACCCATTGAATATGGTCAACCTCTTTTCGTTTGTTTGTCACGTGAGTGACCGAACGTACGTGCCCTCAGATTGCACGGGTTGGGTAACGGAGACTATCAAACAAATGGAGGGGTGTCTTAGGCGAGTCTTGGCAAATGCACATCTTTTATGTTATCATTAATATGACGAACTTGGTAGCTCCGCTTTTAGGCTTGGCTAAATATATATATTATTCCGTTTGTCTGAAGCAATCATTACCCACAAACTTATAAGGTCACTTGCACTCGCGTTATTGGGAAATCAACAGAACACAAGAATAACAGCTATCCAGGGAGGGTAACTTTTTAAAAAAAACTATTCTACTCACTCAAGGTCTGTTCATGAAGGTAAACACATTTTATAACAAAGCAACCTCAGAAGTTTTATCACTTCTTTATCTATCATTTTATATCTATTTTATTTAAAAAAAAAAAAAGAAGAAATGACTAAACGCCATTCAGTTGAGTTTAATCGGTTATCAAAAGTGATCTCTGATGAAATTTACTTGCACAAAGTCAGTCACAAAAGATCAAAAGTAAGCTAACCGCCCATTCCATGAGCTTTTAATTCTGATGGCGCGTGCGCGAGTCGTGAGGTAGCAATTAACATCGGCTTTTTTTTATTTCCGAAAAATGTACAGTAAGTGCCAACGATTTGTCATGATTCTTGTTTTTCTTTGCACATCTCATAGCAACTTGTGGAAGCCATCAGTTTGCTTGTGCAAATCAGCAAAAGTGTATCCATGCGTCTGAACGCTGCGATGGTTACAAGGACTGCAGCGATGGATCAGACGAACAATGCAGTAAGTGCTGTATTTAATTTGTTACTTTAATTATTGTATGTATATATATCTATATATA